ATGCTGATTGATCGGCGTTCGATGCTCGGGATCGGTTGTCGCCATTTTTTACCTTTCATGCAACCGAGCTAAGCCACTGATTGGGGAACTTCGTTATAACGGCTCAGATGAAGTTTTAATGAAACGAGTAGCAATATATGGTCCTGGCCCACCGAAGTAGCTGCTTCTAGACAGCCTAGAGTCGAGCCCTCAATCAAGAACCTAGAAATGCTGTTGCTAGTCGTAAGGGCATCGTCAGCACAGACGAGTTTTTTTGTTGTCAGAATTCTATTCAGTTTCCTTTAAAGATGATTTATGTAGGTTCCTTACTCAATACCATCGGAACACGCTGAAGCTCCGAACTGTCGAGCGATTTTCGAGGGCAATCTGGCTGATTATTTTTGTTTGTGTTGCCACTGGTCTGCTAAGGTTCTTCGAGCATGACACGACCGTCTACCAGTTTTGTATGGGTACGTTGAACCTATAGATAAACTTCATGCAGAGTTAGATTCATTTCAACGTGTTTGCTTAACTATTTCGCCGTTATATTGCTGTAGTTCTAGTTTGAAGACTCAGTCTATGCTGGTTGTATGGGTGGGGACAGTCAATCAATTGGTGCGCGTCACTCTCTAAGCAAAGTAGAGCACAGCAGCCAAATCGTGAGATCGAATGTATCCGCCTACATGACCAACATGGGGGTGCCTTTGATAATAAGTTGACACCTGTGTGAAGATCCCCTGCTTCTTTCATCCTTTCTGTTGTTGCTGCTCTGAATAGGAAGGCTGTAGCATCACAGGGAGGGGAAAAAGCACAGAACCGTCACAGCTATGAAATACGGATATTCGGTACATTATACATCGGGTATTTCTAAATCCTGGTATAGCGCTCAACCAACTTGTGAGACAACCCAGCGGCGATTGCGCTCAACTGGAGCAGTAGGACCGAGTCATGAAAGCACAATTTCATTCATATTGACCACCTGTCACCTGGGAGTTGGTTCCAAATTTAGCAAAGCTACTATATTCAAGTACCAATACTGCAATACTTCTCGACCTTCAGGACCTTTAGATGCAAGTAAAATAATACAAGGGTTGATGTATTAACACTTTCGTCAGGAACCGAAAATTCAGAAAAAAATCAGAAAACCAGGAGTTCTTCGGAAAGACGAGCGCTCCTGACTTCTTCTGCAAGCACCGAAAAAGCGAGGAGCTCTATCTACAAAATATGACTAACTTTTTCAGACACTGAGCCAACGCCGCAATGGGCAGCCCGTTGTATGGTGAGAGACGGCGCGTTGATGAATATCTTGACAAGGTCCTTCTGGAAGGTTAGTCACATTTACAACATTTTTGTTCTCCCTCTAAGAGGGCCATCCGTGAAGTATGGATTCCAAAGGTGGTTGGCACGATAATTTGGTACTCGGCCTAAAATGCAAGCAGGGCACTATATAGTAGGAAAACGTGCGCGAAAAGAACGAAGTTTTCGGTCAACAAACCCCTGCGAAGAAAGGCCTTCGTTTTTAAGGAACTCCAAGAAAACAATATTCGGACGAGTTCCCGGCAGGTCCAATAGCCGCTACGGTATGTCGGCTGCATGTAGGGTACCCACCTATCCATGCGGCCAGACCGCAGCGCTTCACATCAACCGCGCTTCGTTTTTCATATGTTACTTGCAATGAAGTAATGCGAGCGCATGCAGGGGTACGTGTCGTCCTTTGAGCGCGGGCGGGCGTGGTGGCGTCGGATTGGTAATGTTGTGGCTTTAATAAGGCTGCTTTACAAAGCTGCCTTCCTTGGAAAAGGCGCTACGCGCGCCCGCTTCAGCGTCGCGGAGTTCTGTCCTGGCCAGGTATCAATCCTAACGTCTTAGGGCCCTACGCGTGGGTCTCGGATGACAGGATCTAGTTGATGCTTCAGCAGGTCTTTTCTAGCGAACACCTGTAGCTTAGATCGAAAAACATCTGACTTAGTAAAAGTGCTAAGGTTTCGCGAACAGAGAAGTTGAACACTACTGAACATTCAGGTTTTTCTACCACTTTCGGATTTTGTTGTCCAGTTCCTGATACCTGGCTGTTTATTGGCACTCCTTCACGTCGGATTCATAAGAGAACCTGAAATCGATATGGGAGCCATGAGTAGACAGTAAAGCCTTTGGATGATTACACTTTTTTTAGAAAAGTATCTTTTTGCGCTAGTGAACATGGGCACGATAGCTGAGGACGGCGATTGCTGCTAGCGTGATTGATGGAAGGGCTACGAGAGGGTGTTGGCCACACTCCACTCATGACCCTCCCACCAAATGACGTTGGCGACGACCACCCGCCTACAGCGATCGTGCCTACTGCCTATGATGGGCTTGCTAACCGTAGCGAAGAAATCGTTCAGCAGGTTTTCACTGGACTTTGATCATAAATTACCCTCGAAATACTTTGTTCAAACTACCCTTGAACTACTGTAATTACAGTAATCGCTTCGGTCGTACTCCACGCGATCAGACGCGGATACTGATCACTACGGTGACAATCGCTTTTCTCGTCGTCCAAGTGCCGACTGCCTTTATAACGACTCTCAGTCTCACCATTAATCACTTTCAAAATAACAATGCTCGTGAGTTCGAAGAAGATATTCAGAGATTTCCGAGGCTTTTTTGAACCAAGATCACTATTATGGGAAGCTTCTAATTCCTGTAAATCAATGATTCTATTTCAGTGATGATTCTTGCCTTGGTGATAGGTCACCTTCAACCTATGCTTTCAATTATAACAATTGCAGCTAATTCAGCTGCGCTTCTTACTGCATACTATGTTATTGTTAAGGTGAGCTTAGCAGAATAAATTCGACCACGTAATATCGAAATCAATAATGAATGGTAAACACATGGTAGTAGACCTAAAGACTCTTTTTGCGATTACTTACAGGAATTGAAGTCAAATCTAGTTCGGATTAGTAGGGTTAGCAAGCATTAACCTTACATCATTTTTGCGTCAGAAAGTTACAAAATAGTGGGAGCGCAAAGGCGAAAGTTTGCTAGAGTGGTTCAACTACAGCGCAAGTGACTCCGCCCTGCACTGGCTCTTGTTGTCTTACTCATTTGCCCTAGCTACTCTTTTCTAGTCCCTCGCCCGGAATTCCAACGAATCTTTGCTTCTTACCTAAACAAGTATGGTTTCCTTCACAATTCCCTCTGCACTTTCTACATTTGTACGACAATCAGCACATCGGCTTTTTCCAGCCCGATACCGATTTGGTATCGCTGCAATCGGAGTGGTGTCAGGAGGGGAGCGAGTGTGAAGCTGCCTCCAGCTGCCTTTTCTACTATTAGTGATCGGTTGAAAAACGACTCAGGAAGAAAACCAAGAAAGGCAGAAGGTAGAAAAAGGTAGAAAAGGAAGGTAGAAAAGGCTGCGGGCGGGCTCATTTCATGCCTCCTGACCCCGACCCGACTGATTGTGAAGGTGC